GCATGAAGTCAATCTGCCAGATTCAGTTGGATTATACTCTACATTTTAAGAAATTCAGTTAAGATAGAATAACCAAAACAAGAGACTCAGGGAACACTGTTCTCTGTGATGCACTTACCACATCTGCTGGCTGTGCCAAAACATTTCTGTTAGCTTTAGGCACAACACTGATAAAGAAAGTATTTCACTACCTGTTTTTCTAAGGCCAAGGCACTACACAGGCATTTAGATTTAAATGCCAGCTATAACACTCAAGGACTGATTTGGGTTTTTTTCCCCAAGGAGAAAAATAAAATTTTAATGCTTTTGCTGTGTTTACTCAGGTATCAGTTACAAAATATGGGAAGTTTCACTGGTGAGGCACTAGCATGAAGAGGATATGATTTGCTGAAGCTGCATCCACAGCAATGGAGGGAAAAATCTTAATTTTATAATAGCTGGGAACAACCTACAGGACACTCGGAGTGAAGAAGTGCCTCATTTTAGGTGCATGCTGCTCTGCAACGCTGGAAATGGAAAGGAAAATATCTAGAGTACTTAGTGGCATTCAGTGCAAAACAGTTCATGCAGCTGAAGAAGGGAAGAACTGAAGATGGGAAATGTGCCTCAGGGAAGAAGAAGAGGTAGCTTGAGAAAGTCCTAACAGAGGACTAAAAGCCCATTTTTGTGCAAGATCAGAAGTGCCCACAGTGACTCTGATACACTGAAATAAGAGTGCTTTTGCTCCTCGCATATGGAAACAAGCAACAGAACTTCCATAGGTGTCTGTAAAGACATCTATGCAAGGTATAAGCCCTTACCTTTTCTGATCCATTGATGATAAAGTAGCCGCCAGGATCAAGCGGGCATTCATTCAGTTCACAAAGATCACGGTCAGTTAAGCCATTCAACAAACAGTATGTCGAACGTAACATAATAGGAATTTTTCCTATAAAGGTTTTCTGATGTTGTGTCTGTAATTGATCCTCCCCTTCTTTAATGACTGTTTTAGTTATATCCACATACAAGGGAGCTGAATACCTACAGAATAAAAACACCACTGCGTTATCTGACAGTCATTAACCCTTCTGTACAACCTTGAGTAATGAATGTAGTTATTCAAGCACTCACTGGTATATAACACATTATTACCACATCATCAATCATCATCTGATCTGATTTAAAAAGTAGGCATGGAATTTTAAATAGAAGAGTAATTATTACATTTTCAAGGCACTACTATATTGAAAAAGACTATAAATTAATAATGCAGAGGCAGTTCTCCCTTGTGTTTATCCACTCCAGAGTTGGCTCTTACGTAAGGTTTCTCAGCCTGGCTTCATTCGGCATCATTGGCGAGGGTGCTCCATCTCTTTCCCAATGTGTAGGTTTGGAGAGATAGATTTGTTCAAACTTCAGCAGATACCGGGGCTGGAAAACAAGAGTACATTTACTTGTAATGGAAGAAACATCCATTTTGGTTGTTCAAGAGAGACCTTTAGTAGAAACCTTTGAAAACCCAGACCTAACTTCAGCTGAAGAAAGCTAACAAGATTTCAGCCATAAACCTTTCTTGCCATGCTAAAGCTACTGAAAAAATCCCACCAAAACTTGCTCTACCTGACTCTGACTGATTTGCTCTACCACGTCACTGTCCGTGATGTTTGGCATGGTAATTGACAATATGAGCTACAGAAGCCATTTGTTGCTTGTCACTTTTCAACCAGCAAGACAGAGTAACTCTGTACGACAGGGAAGTTCAATCCCATGGATAACAAAGCTCTTGCACGTTTCTCAGTCCAATACCTGACTGCATGACAACTTAGCCACATATCTCAGACTCCAAAGAGTTCATCCTTCTGTCCTATTGATTGCATGAGCAGCATAATTCAGATGTACTTTTATCTCTTGAGACACGGCCTGAATAAATCCAACGTTAAATGATTTTGATTGTAAAAACACATCATCTCTGCCAGGGTTCTCCACTTACCGGCTCTTCCACTTCTCCTGAGGCATGCTGGGCTTCAGCTTGTAAATCAATTGGTGGAGCATCTTCAACAATTCTCTGCACAGACATCTGAATAAACTCATCAAAAGAATCCAACTGTTGCCTGACTAAACCCTTTTCATCAAAGTAGGAGCTAGAAACAAAAAAGGTACATTAATGAACAAGAAGATTTCATTCACGTACTTCACACATCAACAAGCTTAAGATTTATAACAAAACCTACAAAAGCCAAGAAATGCAGTAGAGAATCAAACATATTCACTTATCCCAAGGCATGAGTTTCAAATACAGATGTTCAAAAATGTTTAACAATTCTCTCACTGCTTGAAGACATAGACAGTACAAAGTGCCAGATGTGCTGCCACCTCTTGGCTAGGCCATAGCTGCATGCAGAGTCTACCTTAAATTATGATGACAAACGTCAGTGAAAGTGGCTTCAGATGAAGTTTTACCAACCACGTCTTTAAATTATTTTGCTTTAACTAATTTTCTAAGCTGCAGTAAACTGAGAGCATGCCCCTTAGTCCAAGTAATAGTTCTCAGAACTTCTCTTGGCTTGTATCTCCCCTGTTTCAGCTTCAATCCTCCAGATTTCCCTTAGCCTTTGGGTGACCTAGCTTTAAACCCAGCACAAAATAACTGTAAAAATCAAAGCCTAAATTAGAAGCCCCACATCTTAACTTTTGATGGGATTAACTAAACACGCCTGCTGCATCAGCTCCTGCCAGCAAGCTCCTGTGCTTCAGTGAGGTATTACTGAAGTGAGCCAGGAAACCTACATTACCTCAGCTTCTGTCCCATCACTGCCAAGGTCTCCAGAGGAAACTGGCAAGAACTACGCCGCCTACCAATAGCTTCAGGCTTTCCCAAAAAGAGTAGCACATCCTTGGCCATTGTGCTGTTGCTGCACAGTCTGCCGTTGCCCAAGGGGAAGGAGGAAGGGCACGATCAACCTGTGCCACAGAACAGTTGAGATTGAGGTCCGGATGTCACCCTGTCCTACCACTGCACTCAAGCAAAGTCACCTAGAGCTGATTACCTATAACCAGGCCCAGAGAGCTTTTGAATAACACCAAGGATGGAGATGGAGACTCCATGACCTCTCTGGACAACCTGTGCCAGGGCTTGGTCACTCTCACAGTAAATGACGTGTTTTGTCATATGGAGTGAGGTGCAGCTTCAGCTGAAGAATTTGTATTAGATACCTCCCACATGTCTGAAAGTAAAGACAGCTTTACTGGGCTGCACAGGAAAAGATGTCCTTCTGCCTTTAACGTTTCTCATCTCTGCTCTCCAACCAGCCTGCTTACGGGACCACCTCTGCAGATCTACCCTTCTGCTTGCAGTCTAAGACACCATTCAGGCACATCTTATGAATCATGCAACTAAGAAAATAAACATTTTTTACTCAGTTCCACATGGCACCTCACTCCTTAACAGTCTCAAGAAGCTGTAGGTCTTTTTTTTGATAGAAAAAAACATTTAATGGTGCAAATAGTTAAGTACTGACAGCGTCAGCTGAGATTAGTGGACAAAATCACATACTTGATATAGAACAAAAACCACCTCTTACTTCACTGAAAACAGTGTGTTCCCCCGCCAGGGGTTCTTCATCCCTGATGAAGAACTTTTCTGTTTTTGTTTAAAGCCCTTCTGCTCTGAATATGCTACAACACACAGTTCATCATAACCAAGCCTGCAGCTCCCAGGATGTGTCCCTAGCAAACTGGATGCCACCTGTGAAACCAAGAGCACATGCACTGAAGGGTTTAGGAACAGCAAGTTTTAGCCAGTCACCTAATGACAATCCAGCAGGCTTCTTGCCACAGGTCGGGCGTGATTTCATCATCGTCCTCATCATACTGCATATCTGCGGGGAAAGAAGCACAGCGTGTGAGCCAGGCTCCCATCACCACCTCAGCATCCCTCCTGGCCGGCTGAGGGATCCTCCGGCACTGCAGCAGCACCTCTGGCTGATTTTCTCATTAACAGCAGGCTGAACATGAGCCAGCAGTGTGCCCAGGTGGCCAAGAAGGCCAATAGCATCCTGGCCTGTATCAGGAATACTGAACCCAGCAAGACCAGGGCCAGACTGATTAGGCCACACTTGGAGTACTGTGTCCAGCTCTGGGCCCCTTAGGAAGGACATCGAGGTGCTGGAGCAGGTCCAGAGAAGAGCAACCAGGCTGGTGAAGGGACTTGAGCACAGGCCCTATGAGGAGAGGCTGAGGGAGCAGGGACTGTTCAGCCTGGAGAAGAGGAGGCTCAGGGGAGACCTCATCACTCTCTGCAACTCTTTGAAAGGAGATTGTAGCCGGGTGGGGGTTGGTTTCTTCTCCCAGGTAAGAGGGCACAGTCTTAAGCTGCACCAGGGGATATTTAGGTTGGACATTAGGAAGAAGTTCTTTACAGAGAGAGTGACTGGGCATTAGAATGGGCTCCTCAGGGAGGTGCTGGAGTCACCGTCCTTGGAGGTGCTTAAGAAGAGACTGGATGTGCCAATTAGTGCCATGGTCTAATTGACAAGATGGTGTTAGGTCAAAGACTGGACTCGACGACCTTAGAGGCCTTTTCCCACCTAGCTGTTTCTTCTGTGATTCTATGGCCGCCCGGTTCCCGCGGGAGAGCCCACTGCGCCCAGCGCACACCCCCCCCCCCGCCCCCCCACTCCCGCCTCCTACGGAAAGATCCCAGCGCGCCTGGAGCATCCCCCTTCCTCCACTTCCCCCGCGCTCCCGGCTCCTACGGGCCCCGCGCGCGGCCCTTGCCCGCCTTGTCGGGGCGGACGGGAGAAAAAGGAGGGGAAAGGGGGCAAAAGGTCTCACCTTCGTCGGCGTCGTACATGGTGGCGGCCGGGCAGGGGGGCGAGCGGGGCGGCGAGAGAACAGCGCGATGGCGACGGCGGGCGGCGGGGAGGGCGGCTGCGCGCGCTCTGACGCGTCCCGCGAGGCGCCCGCGCGCCCCGTGACGTCAGGCACGCGCAGCCAGCGCCGCCGTCCCCGCCGTCCCGGCCATGCTGCGCCTGCTGCCGCCGCTCCTGGCCCGCCTGGCCCGCGCTCAGCCCCGCGCTCAGCCCCGCGCTCCCGTGCGCCGGCTGCGGCGGGGCGGGGGGCCGGCGGCGGCGGGCGGCGGGCAGGAGGAAGAGCGCTTCGTGTTCCTCGAGTACGAGCCGGACCCGGCTGAGGCGGCGGCGGCGCCGCTGCGGGAGCCAGAGCCGCTGCGGGAGCCGGAGCCGCTGCGGGAGCCGGAGCCGCTGCGGGAGCCAGAGCCGCTGCGGGGGCCGAAGCCGCTGCGGGAGCCGGAGCCGCTGCCGGAGCCGCGGCGGGAGCGGGAGCCGCGGCGGGAGCGGCGTGCTCGGGGCGCAGCGGCGGGGATTCCGGGCACGCCCGACCCGTCGGTGCCGCCGAGCGGCGTGAGCTGCTCGGGCTGCGGGGCCGAGCTGCAGTGCGCTGACGGCGGCGCGCCGGGTTTCGTGCCGGCCGAGAAGTACCGCAGCCTGGCGTCGGATGGCGCGGCGGGGCTGCGCGGCGCCGTGTGCCAGCGGTGTTGGGCGCTGGCACACCACGGGCGCGCCCTGCGGCTGCAGCTGCCGCCCGACGAGCACCGGCGGGTGGTGAGCGAGGCGCTGCGCCGGCCGCCCCGCCACGGCCGCGGGCCGCTGCTGCTCTACGTGCTCGACGTGCTGGAGCTGCCCGACCCGGTGCTGCCGCAGGTGCCGGCGCTGCTGGGCCCCGGCGTGCCCGCCTCGGGCGTGCTGGTGGTGGGCAACAAGGTGGACCTGCTGCCCGCCGACGCCCCCGGGCACCTGGGGAGGCTGCGGAGGAGGGTGGCGGAGGCCTGCGCCCGGGCCGGGCTGGCGGGCGCCGCGCTGGTGGATATCCGGCTGGTGAGCGCCAAGACGGGCTTCGGCATGGAGGGGCTGGTCAGCCGGCTGCAGCGCTCCTGGAAGTGCGCCGGGGACGTGTACCTGCTGGGCGCCACCAACTCCGGCAAGTCCACGCTCTTCAACACCCTGCTGCGCTCCGACTACTGCAAGTCCCGCGCCCCGGACATCGTCGACAGGGCCACCGTGTCCCCATGGCCAGGTAAGGGAACGCCCTGCTTCCTTCCCCGCGGTCAGCGAGCCTCTGGGCCTCTGGGCCACTCCTGTGGCAGGGAACTCGCCACCCTGAGCACCCCCGTGGTGGGCAGAGAGCTTCTGAGCTGTGCCATACTTCAGATTGTCACCTCTGGGAAGTGGCTGAGGGAGCTAGGGCTTGATAACCTGGAGGAAGAGGAGGCTTGGGGGAGACCTTCTCGCTCTCTACAGCTACCTGAACAGAGATTGTAGCCAGGTGGGGGTTGGTCTCTTCTCCCAGGCAACCAGTGACAGGACAAGAGGACATAGTATTAAGCTGTGCCAGGGGAGGTTTAGGTTGGACATCTGGAGGAAATTCTTCATAGAAGGGGTGATTAGACATTGGAATGGGCTGCGCAGGGCGGTGGTGGAGGCTGTTCCTGAAGGCGTTCAGGGGAAGACGGGATGTGGCGCTCAGTGCCATGATCTAGTTGCATGTTGGTTTTCAATCATAGGTGGGACTCGATGATCTCAGAGGTCTTGTCCAACCTCGTTGATTCTGTGATTGCTCGGGGCAGCAGGTGTAGGAGGCATGCGCTGAGGGTGCTGCACGTCCCGGAGCACTAAGGGGCCCAGTAAACCAGAGTTGGCCTGCATGCTCCCTTACCAGTGGGGATGGTGCCTGATCCACACACCTTGTCCTCTCCCTATCAATTAGGGATGCCCTCCAGTTTGGAGAATCCAGGAGGTAGACTGGTGAGCACCTGTAGGCCAAACCAAGATGCTGAGGGTGAGACTTGCCTGAGGTGTCTAAAGTCAATCTTAACACCACTTGGCTCTGAGATCCTTTTATTCAAACTAAATGTGAGAGCACGTCTCAAGGGGGTGGATGGCTCCTTTTTGCTGCCCTGACTTTGGAGGCGAGTACTTTATGGGAACAGCTGTAGTTCAGCCTCTGACTTTGTGTTACTGTGTTTCACCAAAAGGTTGGAAAAGCAATTTTTTTTCCTTGTTTGTCGGGGCTTAAATGTACCAGTTATTCAAGAGACCCAAAGGTACCTTCTTTTTTTTTTTTTTTTCCAGGAACAACACTGAACCTGTTGAAATTTCCTATTATCAATCCAACATGTGACAGGATATTCCGAAGGCAGGAGAGGCTGAAAGAGGAGGCAACAAAAACAGAAGATGAGCTAAGCAGTGAAGAACAAAAGTACCTTAATCACCTAAAAAAGCAAGGCTACTTAGTGGGTGAGTATTGCCTGAGTAACAGTATTGCCACTCTGGGCAGTACCAATGAAAATATTGCATTACACAAAGGATTGTTAACTCCTTAATTTGCTGTCAAATCCAGTTGTTTGCAAGTAATTCCTTCCAACACTGTTAAGAACTCACTTCCCTTTAATTACTGGAAGAACATGCTATCTGTAGAAGTAGTAAAAAATTCCCAAGCTTGCATTTAAGTTATTTTGACCGCTGTTTGCTCCCAGAGTAATGGGGACAAGACCTCTGTGTCCTCCATAAGCAGCATCATTAGCACTTCTTTTAAGTATTTACCTGTCAGCTGCTGCAGTAGCATTGCAGAGGTTTTCTCTGTGCAGTGCACCTCCTGTCTGAACTAGGCTGGCGAATTCTGACAGCTTAGTAGTTTACAAGGACATCGCACTATGGGTCATCTCTCATTCCTGAAGGAAGAAAACAAGTTTAATTTTTAAATAATCACATTTTGGGCTGCAGGCCGTGGTGGTTGTACATCATTTTAGTATGTGCCCAGAAGGCGGGGGTTACAGAAGATAGCTCTGTTTTTCAAATAATTTTGTATTTGGAAGTCTGAGGCACTGAAAAAGAAAGCAGCTTACTTTACCATTAATTGGAAATAATGGAGTGTCTGTGATCTGGTCGCTGCTGAGATTTCGGGGCTTGAGGAATCCTAATCAAGAATTATAGAAAGGGTTTCTTACCATTTTGGCTTTTGAACACACAAATTTCTAGTCACATAGTGTATTTATCATGTTTATGTTACTGATGTGCATCTTTTAAGCCAGGAAAGGGGCAGATGTTTGATTGAGGGAAAGGCAAGTTAATAAATTAATTACCAGGAAACCTTTCATTTTAATCCAGGAAGAGTTGGAAGAACATTTCAACAGCAGAAGGCTAGTCCTGTGGTTGACTTTGATCCTGACATGCTCTCCTACAGCATAGATGAAGACCCCAAACATACCCCTAAGAAGCGAGTGGAAAGGGAGGAGTTCACACACAATGAAGTGAAGGATGCTCGCTGGTGTTTCGACACTCCAGGAATTGTAAAGGAAGACTGTGTAGGTACTCTGTGGTGCTGTGTTTCGGGATGACAGGGTTTGGTAGGACTGTTCAGCCTTAGCTGTGCCTGTGGAAGAGTATTTCTGCTGCAGTCCTGGGATTGGGAAGAGTGTTAGGGGTTCTGGCTGCGCCACAGCCCTTGTTATTTAGGTCTTTTAGAGCTTGAGGTTAATCCTCATGTCCACACTAGTCCAAACTTGCATCTGCATGACTGGCATGTGCTGAGGCACATCTGGAAGCATTTCTGCTGTCAGCTCCCTAGGAAAGAGATACCATCAACCTGGAGATGAGTTGTTTCCTTCAAGGCACTGCTTTTTGTGCTGACATGTTGTTGCATGACTGGATTTCTTTTTGTGCTGACATGTTGTTGCATGACTGGATTTGAACTGTGCTTCCATAGAAAGTGATCAGACTGCTGTGGCTGCAGCACTGCTGGTTAAGTCACTGGCTTTTAAGTAGACTTTTGGGTTGGATCATTTCAGTGAAACAAGTTAACATATAAACAGATGAGCTGGGTGAGCCAGGAGATGGAAAAGAAGGAGGAGAGGAAGACAGGGCAGCAGGAGCATTTGAGAGCCCTCACAGAGGGCAAAGCTTGTTTCACTGTGCTCAGGGTACAGATCCATGCTATGAGTGAGGCTGGTCATCCTGCAGTTAGAGTTGTTCCACACTGTCATCCAGGACTTTTCTCTTGTGAGGTACTTTGAGATTAGCTTTGCTGCTAGTATTGATTTGACACTATTTCACTACCTAAGTGAAGTGACTCAAATGTCATAGCAGAAGGTGATCTCCAGTTCTGCACATGGCTGCTCTTCTGCTAAAGCACAGTAAATCTTGGGTGACCTTGTTCCAGCCACACCCTGGGTGCCCACATTCATGCCCAACAGGCTTCTTACAGCTGTTACATTTTGACATGGACCCGACCTTGTCATGGAGAATGGTGATATCCTTACCTCCTCCTGCTTCTCACTTACTGTGTGGACCAGAATTGAACTGTTCCATCAGATGTTCTTTACACTGCTTTACTTGGTCTTTTTCCTCTGTCATTATAATGCCAATACTAATTCAGTTGTCCCCACTGAAACATTTGGAATGAGTTGTGGCAGTACAATTTATTTTGCAGGTTTTGAATCTCCTGACAGAGAAGGAAGTAAAGCTGGTTTTGCCAACAGTTGCCATTGTTCCACGGACCTTCATTCTCAAGCCAGGAACGGCCTTGTTTTTAGCAGCCTTGGGACGTATAGACTACTTACAGGTAAGGGAAGAAAGGATTTTGGGATTAGCTGCTTCATTTCTTACTGTAGTACCAGACATGAAAGGCTTCCTGGGTAACTTTCCCAGACCCTTTTTTGCTGCTTTGAGATGATGACTCTTAATAAATCACTGCTTAAGATCAGAATGCCTTGGGATGTGTAGTTGAAAGGTTTGTTCCTTGTTACCAGCATGCAGTGTTTTATAGTGTATAATGGTAACTGCTTTTGAATGCTGACAAAGCATTCCCCTTATGTGCTTCCCATAACATACAGAGAGGCACAAGGCAGAGAGAGAGGGAGGAGAATGCCAGAATTAACTGGGAAAATAGGTGGGTTTCCTCATTTCTGTGTTTTGTGAAAGCTGGCTATCAGGAGAGAAAAGCATGGACATTCTTCTTTGTGACACAGACCTATGAAGAATTTGCCAGAAGAAGCAATTAATTGCATATGTACTTTAGTTTCTGTAAACATATTTTTAAAAGGTACCGTGTGTCTCCACTGCAAATAATTTCTACCATTTATTACAAATCCCATACCATACACCTTTATTGAACTGCGTGGAGCTAAACTCCAAAGATACTTCTTCCACATAGGCATCGTCATAAGTGCTAGATCCTTTTCTCAGTAGCTTGCCCTGTTTTGGGGGTGTGTATGGCTATTCCTTTGTTTCAGTCAGCTTTCCAAGATCACCGTAGAAATGTTAATTGATACTTTGCTAAGGACAGTCTTGACCTGTGGGAAGAAAACCAGAAAGGTGTAGGGAGCAGGGTTCTGTAAGTAATAATGTACTGGTATGGCAGGAGACCTCCATCATAACTAAGATGAAAATCCAGAGCCCTGTCTCCAAAAAACAGCTTGGCAGGACAGAGTAGTAATGCCTCACTCAGAGACAAAGATCTCTCTGGGATGATTTGCCTGAGCTGAGCAGCTGTGATGGAGGGAGATGGGGCATTAAGGGGTACCTTGAGGCAGGATGGTGAAGCTGTGGTGCTTCTGTCCTGAAAGCTCACGTCCCCAGTTTATTTAAACCCTGGCTGCTCCACAGTGGCAGAGGCAAGGGCCCCTCGGACAGGAAGGGGACATCAGGCAAACAGCTTTTTGCGGGGTGGGAGAGAGAAATTCAGAACTGCTTTTCTATTACCATAATTAACAGCCTCTTGTTATTTATTTCAGGGAGAAAAGTCTGCCTGGTTTTCTGTTGTGGCTTCTAACCTGTTGCCAGTCCACATCACTACCCTGAGTAAAGCAGATGCCATCTACGAGAAGCACGCTGGCCATGAGTTACTAAAGGTGAGAGGAGGTGCCGTGGGGGCTCTTGGCTGCAGGCAGGCAGGCAGCTGTCCTGCCTGGTGAAGCACCCTGTCTGAGGCACAACTGACAGGGCAAATCCACATGTATCGGGAGTTTGGGACTTCTGCAGTGGAGATGTGCAGTGTTGAGCACTGCACTTGCACAGACTGCATGGCTGCAGGTGCGATCGGAGAGAGCACTCAAGGTGCTGTGTTTTCAGGGGAGCTTCTGTTTCCAGCATTTAGGCTGTTAAGATTTGCAGTGCTCTGCTCTCTGATACTTGGCTGTTCTTGAACTGGCTTTAAGTGCAAGCAGCAACAGGGATATTTTCCATGGCAAACCTTCAGACTGGGGTTTCAGCACAAATTGCAGTTGAAAAATGTACTTTTCTTATTCTTTCCCTGCTGGATCCTCTGCACACCTCTTCATCTCTGTGGTCTGACTTCTTCCTTGGTATGACAGCATACTGTGTAGCACTTAGGGATTGTTGGGAGATGGGGTGAGCTGTCCCTGTCCTGGCATTCCCATTCCTGTGCACATGGAGAACAAGTGCTGTCACTCACATCAAGGTGGCTGGGCTGAGCCACCAGCTGTGTCCTGTGGTGGGCATTCCATCTTTGGTTACCTCCCACGGGGTTCCTCTGGATGTGATCCCGATTCTGTTCTGGCAAACCTGAAATAGCTCCTGTAGGTTATTCAAGCCAGCTCTTAATTGGCTAACGAATGTCTCATGTGTTTATTCCCTCTTGTGTCTTGCTTGCCAGTTTAAGGCAGGAGTGCTGAAGGATCTCTTGACTATGAAATCTCTTCTCCATGTTTTGATCTTAGGTTCCCATAGGTGGGGAAGAGCGAATGAAAGCGTTCCCCCCACTTGTCCCTCAGGACATTACACTGAAAGGAATTGGTACCACTGAGGCAGTTGCAGATATCAAGCTTTCCTCTGCAGGTAATTTAATATTTCTTCATTAGTTTGCTTTGCAGGATCTGCATCCTAGAAACATTGATGAGAAGAGGCCTCTGAAGGGGTGAAGCCATATTTCCCACTGAGAGCTGGACTGTCAACAACACAAAATCATAGCAGCCATGACTTTGTCCAGCTGAGGCTTGGCAACCTCCAAGAAAGGAGATTGACAGCCATGCTTGTACAGGAATGCCTACAATGGAATGCTCAATGTTCTGGCTGCCATACAAGTTCCACATTCCATCAGGAATGGCTGGGACACTGTTGGCCGTCCAGGTGAGAGGGAAAGGGCCATTGATTAAAAAGCTTTATTGCGTTTTTGGTAGTTCCCACCATCCTTCTTCAGTTTACCAGGAAAGAGCTATGTCTGGGAGAGAGTAAGATGTGGCTTTAGGTGCTGCCTTCTATTGGGAAAGAGCTGGGTATGACCTTTGAGCTTGGTTTCTCAAAGAAGTCACATGTGGGTAAGCTCAGGTTCTCAGCCACTCTGGGAGGCAGTAGTTTGTGTCAGAACCCTCATTCTGATCCTGGGGACTTGTCTCACTGTCTGTATTCCTTTTGGCTGTGCAGGATGGGTGGCAGTGACGGCTCATGCAGAAGAGGAATTGCTGCTCCGAGCCTATACTCCCAAGGGCACCACATTGGTGGTGCGGGAGCCTCCCCTTTTGCCGTACATCAGTTCCATCCGAGGGTCCCGGATCGCAGGCACTGCTGCCTACAGGACCAAAAAGCCTCCCTCCCTTGTGGAAAACCTGAAAACCACAGGGAGCAGATAGCACTTCTTGTCATCTGAAGAAGGCAGAAGAGCTTCTGGAGAACCTTGTTGCTTATTGATATTCGGAAGACCTTGGACTCCTTTCAAAAGGCATACGGGCACATTTTGGAAAGCAGGACTGGGGGGAGCTCCGCAAGTCTTTTCCTGATGCAGTTGCTGAACTGCAGCCATTTTGAATGAGCTGAGTTGCTGGTACCTTGCTGTGAGAGGTGAAACAGTTTCTCCTTGAGATCTACCAGTATCTACCAGCAAATCCCTTTACCTGTCCTCTCTTGAAATACAGGATGGAAACTCACCTGCCTGGCGCGGGCTGGCTCTGCTGCTTGTAGAGTAGAAGGCTTGTTGCAGACACGCTCCTTCAGCTTTGAAATCACCTTGTTCTTGGAGCCTTTACAGTGTTTCCACAGTTACGGAGGTGGAGAGAATTGGAAAGAACAGGGAATTTTCTGTCGTGGTTGTGACTCTTCTAATTGTAGTGGCTGATACTGATTCAACATCAACCAAAAATCGTGTCCTTCTTCAGAATCTGAGGCAGATGAGGATGTGCAGTGCCCTGCTTTTGGACACAGGAAAGGTGAATCAATGAAAGGTCTGTTGGTGTGCGTGAACAGGAAACTTTTACAACTCACTGTTTTGATTTGGTTTTTGCAGCTTGTGTAAAGGTTTTTGAAACTGAGGGTGTGAAATAAAATTTTTCAAAAACACTCTTTTATATCCTTTTCAAATAGTTGAGAAGTATACCCTCTTGTGTGGGCATAAGCATCTTGACGAATACATGAAAGCTTGAGCATGTGCTAAATCTGCAGAGAGTGAGAGAGAGACATAACCAGGCAGTCTGCTGAAGAAGAGGCAAAAAAGAGTATTTTCTAATCTCTCCTTACCACTGTCTCCCTGATCCTTGTACCATTTCACCATTTAAGTTAAACGGGGGAACTCTGTTGCAACTCTACCCAAAGTACTGATGTCCCAACCCATCAGTCAGGGACACATCACATGTTGTAAATTCTCATCAGGCTGAACAAAGACCCCGGGCCCGTGCCAGGGAGCTCCTGTGCTTTACTGTACAGTCCCCATAACTCTGGCAACCAGCCCAGTAGTTTGACTCCAAAGGTCTTGACCAAGAAACCCTTAAATTTTTTAACTTACACTTCTCAGAATGGTGGCTTCATTTCTTACGTCCACTTCAGGAAGTTCTCAACTCCCACAAGGGCGCGGGGCCCAACCTGCCAAGCACAGCTGATGAGGAGCTGCCCCTGCAGGAGGTGACAGGGAAGCTCTGCTGTCTCGGCGTGCTGGCTGCAGCCTTGCTGTCCCCTGCGAGTGGGTGCTCAGTGGTGTCTGGATACCTCATGGCTGGAGGAAATGCTGGTGGGATGACTGCCTGGAAGAGCAGGCTTAGGCACGATGGGAAAGGCTGCTCAGTGTGTTTCCAGCAGCTCCTCTGCACGTGTGCAGGCAAAGGTGCTGGTGGGTTCTGTGGTGGGGGAACTGCAAGTCCTCTGTTGTTCCAAGTGCTGATTCATGTTTGCTGCTGGAAGTGCTGTGGCTCCTGGGCCCCCCCCCAGTTGATGTCCAGAATAAACTGATCTAGAGGATTGCAAGAAAAATTCACCTTTTAGTATAATACTTATAATTGTGGTTGATACTGTTTTCAGTCAGAAAAGCCAATACTGAGTTTAAAAAATTACTTCTGAAATAAAGCTACTGTTGTTTTTGACATTGCCTAACTTGTTTCAGTGGGAAGAATGGTGTAATTTCTGTAGTTTCACTTAATGTGTATATCTCATTCATGTCAATGGATAGAAAGAAAGAAAAAAATCCAAGCGATCACTTGATAATTGATGAATCAACACCTACTTGGAAGGTGCCAGTGATGAAAATGTAACAAAACGCATCATTCAGACACAGTCCCAATCTGAAAACTACAGCTGTAGGACCTCAGCTTCAAAACAAGATCTAAACTCATGCACAGAGAGTATAAAACCCTGTTCAGTGTCAGAAATGGACATGTGGGGGGGGTTGTTTGTTTGTTTGTTTTTGGTTTTACTTGTTTGGTTTTTTGTTGTTTGTTTGGGGGTTTGCAATTTTTGTTTGTTTGTTTGTTTTTTCATTCAAGTAATCACATGTATACAGCCTCTGGAGCATCAAAGAAGTGTGTGGTTTTCTTTGTGGGATGATTTCACATCACTAAATTGACAGAACAAGTGGGAGAGACCTTCTGCTCCAAAATCAGTAATTTTTTGACACTTTTGTTTGTGGAGTTCCCAAATGACTTTGCATCATTTCAGCTTTATGCAAAACTATGTGGAGTGCCAAAATAAAACTTTCACTCAAACAAGGTACCATCCACTCTGAACCTCATTTAGCTTGAGGTGTCATTTGTAAAAGTACCCAGAGCTTCCATTGATACCAAAGTAATTTGGCAGTCAGAGCTCTTTTGAAAAGTGTGAGGGTAACTTTTACTGGAATGCACAAGTTACATGTTTGTGTTTTCAATGTGCTGCAGCCACTGGATGGGCCAAGGTTGGAAAGCGTCTTCCCTGCCTTATTGGTGTGAATAAGCAGCACCAGCTTTAGGACTACAATGGGAAAGAACATTACTGTTGCTGGGACATGGTATGGAAAAACCGAAAAGAGAGTATTGTATCTCTAGGGAGCTGCACTCTGTGGCAGGCTTGGTGAAAGTGCCTATCAGCTTTAATTTGCAAAAGAAATGGTTGTTGAAAGTCAAGAAACACTTACAAAAATTTCACATAGTAAAAATTATTACTGAGACTTTTTTCTTCCTAAGACTTGGGAAAAAAATCAATTTCCACTGACCACTCAGCAGTCAGTACTACTCAGTGTGGAGGTAAGGATATAGATTAAATAATAAAGCATGGATGGAATGACAATATTTATTCTAACCTGTGTTGTGCTTTTAGCTCAAGGCCACAGTGCAATTAAGAAGTACCAAGTTTCAAAAGATTAAGTGGACTTGTCAGTGCAGTGTATGCATAACCTTGGAAGAACAGGCCTTTGAGAGACCATGGTCAGGAATACAGAGAAAGCAAACAAGTTTTATGGATGGATAAGATGCACATTCTCAATAAGGAAAATTAAACATATTCTTCATCCTTAGGAGTTATGGCATAAATTGCCTTTGATTGCCTAGACAATGAAGATACTTCCTTGATCTGCACGAGTTTCATGTGGGTTTCAGGACTTCTGGACCTTATTCTGAACTCTCTGCTATGTTTAACATGGGTCACTGACAGGCAGGGTGCTGAACTCCATGAATGATGGGTGTGTTA